TGGGTTGGCAGCCGCGGAGGGCGGCGGTGGCCGGCGCCGTGGTCGGGCTGGGGCTCCCGAGGGGATTTAAGGACGGAGGCGAGGGCAGCGTGGCCTGGGAGGTGGGGTTTGGCAGAGGAGGGCCCTAGAAGTGGGTTATCGGTGGCCAGGGGTGATCCGAATCTGGCGTTTTTCAGTTAAGGGTCGCGTTGACTGTGTTTTGTTGTTCTAATAAAGTTGGAAGTTCCTATAAGTTAACACTTAACGTTTAATTTGTCCTTTTTTTAAATAGGGATTCCTGCACCGGTGGTCTACTTTGTGGATTATGTCACCAACTGCATATATCTTGAAGATATCGTAGACTCGGTTACAGTTCGAGATCATATTGCTTCTGTACAGCAATGTGGAAATGATTCCAGTAGCCTCCTTCCCCTAGCAGAGAAGTTAGGTGAGCTCTTGGCAAGAATGCACGATGAAGACCTTATACATGGGGATCTTACAACTTGTAATATTCTTCTGCGACCACCCATGGAGAAGCTGGACTTGGTGTTGATAGACTTTGGACTCAGTTTTGTTTCAGGTCTTCCTGAGGATAAAGGAGTTGATTTGTATGTTCTGGAAAAGGCCTTTCTTAGTACTCATCCCGATACAGAAACTGTGTTCCAAACTCTACTGAAGACTTACGCAGCTACATCCAAAAAATCTGGTCCTGTTGTCAAAAAGCTGGATGAAGTACGGTTAAGGGGAAGAAAGAGATCCATGGTTGGCTAGAAGAGAGCAGGCTTAGTGATGGAGAAATATTACTACTTAGGTTCTGCATATATGTTTATTTGTACTTCCAGTTGGTTTTATTTCACATATCGCTATTTTGATAAGTCTGTGTCTTAAATAAATTTACTACAGTGTGGCAATAATCTTTGTGTAGTTCTTAGCAGAGTCATACAGTAACCAAAGTAATTATGTGAGATGAGAGCACAGGCAAGAAAGAAACAGCTAAAGGTTACTTCTTTTTTTTAAAGGTTAAATATTTCTTTTAAAAAGTAGCTTTCAATGTCATTCTACTGGCCCTCTTTTGTGTAGATAGAATCATACTGAGTATCTTTTTAGCCTGTGGACTGTAGATTTGTGGCAGGTAAAAGGGACCTGGAGATACCAAGACATCTACAGAAGGTAACTAGAGAAAAAGAAGCCTGTTCTTTTTCTCAGAAGACTTACTGTGAAGCTTAGCTTTAAATTCATTATAAATGACTCTCTACCTCCTCCTGAAACTTCTCAGGAGGACTGTGAATTCCAAGACATGGACAACAGCTGAAATGGAGATAAAAATAAGACAGGTCCATTTTTTTCAGTAGTAATTTTGGCTTTTGTAACTTTTGATATTCTTTCATTAAGCAAATATAGAAATAATAAAACAAGAGCAGTTCTCCGCTGAGAAACTTCCAGTTTAAGCAAGAAGTCTAGCATAAATTTCCTTTCTGAGTCTTTATCGGAAGGACTATTTGTGTTATGATTGCCTATCTAGGTAACTGCTTTTCTCAATTTTGATAACATTTTTCTATATTTCTTGTCTTTCTGGATTACTGTTTCAATGCAAGATGGCTCAGAGAAAAAGTTTTAAGAACCCCACAGCAGATGGCGAGAGGATAATCAGTCCTTACAGGCAGAATGGGATCTAAGTTAGATCTGTAGATGTGTGAGCTTTAATGCTTTAGCATTTACTTCAGATGAGGATTAAAAACAGCCCTCGGGAAACTTCTCTCCCCTCAGCAATTTGCTATGCTGAGCAGATGCTTTTTTCTTGTGCCCCCACTTTGTCAATGAGGGAAGACCCTCTGCAGAAGAAGGGGGCACCCACTACCTTCCACGCTGTTCCCTTGTGCTGCCACTGCTGCTCTGCCTGAAGATGCTCGGGCACGGTGCAGCATGGCTCTAAGAGCAGAGCAGCCAAAAAAAAAAAAAAGAGAGCAAACCCTGTGGAAGCCCCCTTCCACGCAGTGGCATCGCTCGCCTCTGTTCACAGCTTCTGACAGGTCCCTTCCAGATTGCCTTTTCCACCTGCAGGGGAACACACAGCTGTGCAAAAGAAGGGCTGGGGTACGGTGGGCACCTTATGCCTGTAGCCTCATAAGGGAGATGGAGATGGGAGTTTCTTCCTCCCCATCTAAACCAAAGCAACCTGAGCGAAACCAACCCTGGGAGAAAACAGCCTGGGAGAAGTCAGGGTGGTGGAGAGGGCACCAGGGCCCGAGGCATCAGGCATCACAAGGGCTGCGCTGTGCAAAAGAAGGGCTGGGGTACGGTGGGCACCTTATGCCTGTAGCCTCATAAGGGAGATGGAGATGGGAGTTTCTTCCTCCCCATCTAAACCAAAGCAACCTGAGCGAAACCAACCCTGGGAGAAAACAGCCTGGGAGAAGTCAGGGTGGTGGAGAGGGCACCAGGGCCCGAGGCATCAGGCATCACAAGGGCTGCCGAAACGGTGGTTGGGGTAGAACGGTGGCGCCGGCGTAGCGCTGCCGCTCGGGGGCGCCCAGGCCGCGGGGCGGCCGGGATGCAGCCAGCCAGCGGGTAAGAAGCGAATCTGCCCCGAGGGTGCAAAGGCTTTGCAGAGGCCGATTGGGTGGCCACATGTCACTGACCCTGTGCAGGGCCCGGGCTAGCTGGAGAGGGACAATTCTGCCACCCTAGCCCATGCTTTTGCCATGGCTGATGGTGGAGACCAGTCCCTCTGCTGTGGGCACTCGCCTTCAAGGCAAGGAGGCCGCCGCCGAGGGCTGAGCTCAGCCCCACCAGCAGAGCCGCTGAGGGGAGGCAGCATGCTCGCCCGCTCTGCCCGCCAGCCCCCATCTGTACAAACACTTCTTTAACCGTCTCCTGGTGATGCCAGGATTAAGTTATGTTTGTAAAGCGCTTTGAAGACGTTTGCTTCCTGCTGTCTTGTGTTTATTAAAATGCAGCCGCTGGCTGCTCTCCGTATGGGCCTGCGGAGCAGAAACAAAGATGATCAGCTGCGAGTTTTTACGGCTGGGGGGGGGTGGGGGTCTAACACGCGCTGGG